AGATTAGTAGATACTACTATAAAATAGAGATACAAGGCTAGGTACGAGTAGGTGAGATAAACGTGTTTATCCCTCCGCGGCAAACAAATGAGGGTAATCTCTCCGCACGTATATTCACATTGTGAACCATCCAAATGTAACAAATTGAGGATCTTATTTTTAATTAAAACGAAGAAAAGGTTTTTATATTTAGATTCGTATTTCTATATATTTAGTATCTAGAGCTATAATTTTATTTTCTTATATTATAGATATTAAATAGTTGACTCAGACGTAATGAAGTATTGAAGGTGTTTGTATCCAGATTTAATAAGAAAACTATTGTTTGCGTATAATCTATACTTATAAAATATAATAATTTTACTGTAAATTTTCAGGTTTGAAATCAAAGGTAGCCTGGAAGAGATCGCTTTTAGCGATAAGGTCGTCCATTGTTTTCTCATTGTGATTAATTCTTGTAATTGTTTAGTTTACTATTATAATCTTTTGGAGGAAACAATAAAAAGTATCTATCTACGTATAAAATATAACAAAAATGTAACTAGACTATTTTTATGTACATTAGAAAATATTAAACGAATTTGAATGAAAATTTATGATAATTTAGTACCCTAAATAACTAATTTTATTACGATAAAATGTCTTTGTGACTTTCCATCAAGTTGGCCGTCTGCTTATTTGCCATTCTAAGTTAAATAAAAAAAAATGTCTATTGTTATACTATCTAACTATCTATATATGGTAACATTATTCCCATGGAAAAATAATAAAAATCGCCGCGGGAACGTCACAAGCACAGCCAGTAAAATGAATAAACAGATTGGATCGACTTTCTTATACAACAATAGCGGAAGTTTTTTATGAATTTGGTTTGTGAAATGACAGAAAGATTAATATGGATAAATTCTGAGTTTGTCAGGAGTCGTCAGATGCCTGGGTAACAATGCAGCATTGACACTCGACTTTCTAATACGAAAGTCTTCCAATAGAAACTATAATATTGTATATATTTATTGTTTTAAGCATCCTAAAGATTGAGTGGTAGAAAATGCTTATAGCATTAAGTCCGCTTTTTGTACTCCATTGTATTCAATAATCATTGTGGTCAATAAAGTTTAAATAAATAAAAATTTACGTACACATTTTTGTATTAATTTATATCAGATTTATACACATTTTACGCTGGAAAATTAAAATCATAGTGAAATGTCTTCCAAAATTAGACTGCCAAAACTATATTTACCTCATAGTACAGAGAGTAAAGACGTTGTACTATGGAACAATTAAGGGAAAGCTGGATTTTTGCATGAACCTTCCTTTTGTGGTTCTAAACAAAATCCTAAAAGTCCTCATTGATTCGTGTGCCGCTAAAAATGTTACTCGGGGTCAAAGGTCACAAAAAACAGTTTTTCGCGAATATCTCGTTAAGGGTCACAGTTATTGAAAAAAAAATGTGGTTATCAAATTTGTAGCTAATAAAATTGCCTACAAAAAACATATCATTACGTTTTTCCTTAAAACTAATAGTTTTTGAGAAAATTTATTTAAAAAGTTTTAACGTTTATGTTTCTCATATACCGTGCACTCCTTTGAGGTAGATACAAGATGTGTTTAGTTGAGGTAGAGTACAAGTGGTGTCCACAGCAGTGATTGAAAATTCTTAATTTATGAAGATAAATAACGAAATAAACAAGTGAGTGAGGGAAATAAAAATGAACAAATTATCAATTTTTTGTCTTTATACCCTAAACTATTACAGAATACGATTGTAAAATAACTCTGTAAGTGAATATGCTTATTTTTCGCAGAGATTAAAGTTACCAAAATTATATCATAAGATCGAGGTTTTCAGATTGAAAATGAATACGTGTACATAGGCTTACGGTAATTTAAAAAGTAAATATTAAAATGTCTCTGTTTATAATTTAAAAATTATCATAGTAATTACCTTAATTGCTGTGCTTAATTGGTTTGCTATAAACTTTTTATATTTGTATACATAATACAAATATAAAAAGTTTATAGCAAACCAAATATAAATTATTTCATATGTAACATACCTATACTTATGTATATAGGTATGTTATACATACCTATATTTTACATACACATATAGAAAAAAGTTTCAATATACATTATACCTTTATAAACGCAAATAAATTGACATGATATCATATTTCATGGAATAATATGATATACAATGTATTATTAGCATATCCATTTTCTATTCAGTCCATTTTCATCTTTACGTCATATTTAATTATTATTATTCATTACACATTACACAATACAGTAATCATTTAGGTACAAACCAAATTTATTGTCTGAACGATAGGCATATAGTGCACACACTAACTCAGGTAGGTGCGAAAAAGATCCGTTGTATTATTCAACACTCTTTCCTCATTCCAATTGATTAATTTGATGTTCATCTAAGTTTCTCCGAGATTTCCGTTTTGCTTCACGCGGTCTCGTGTAAATTGTGCTGGAAATCGGAAACGGCATCGTTAGTTTTGCGCAGGGGTTTCCCCTGGGTCAGGCAGGTCGAACAGGGGACGAGGCAACCTTCATAAATCTTTTCCTCGAGCTCCCCGCAACTAACAAGCCGCCACGGCGCAGACCGCACTCGCATACATCGAACCCGTAAACCAGTAAATAACCGTGAAAACTTTCATAATAACACCACTTTAAGTAGATTAGAATACCTAACTGATCGTATTTTCATATTAATCATGTAGTGAAAGAGGGTTCCCGCTTATAGGTGGCATCAGTAATTTAATAATCTAAAGGGACGTCTTACCACCGCTCACCCCTTTTAAATCAATTTTATCGAGCCGCCTTCACTATGAATTAAAATTATTACAGCTTTAGATACAAGACCCTCATTTATTTACGGTCTCATAGTTTTATTCATTTGTATTATGAATAGAAAGGAAACGATTACTTATGCGCAAAGCAGGATGTTATTTGCATGAGTAGTCTTTACAATACTGTATTTTGTTCATGAGTTTTTCTTCCATTTATGTAGCATACATAGTTTTGCTTAATAAGTTCCCGGGTTTGATTCCCGGTTGAGCCAACAACGTTTTCTAAATTGACACAGGGTATCCTAGCTTAAAAACCAGACGTTTGGTGTGATTGCTTTGTTATATATACAATACATATACACTACTAACATAGTGTAACATAGTGTACTTATAAATCCTCAGTATCATAACAACAATGACGTTTAAAATACAAAAATTATAAAAAGGTCGATGAACCAGTCAAGCTATCAACAACAATAATAAAAACGATGTGTGTATTCCCAGAATATGTAATCGGTTTAAATACAAAATCCATTTTACAACTACCTACTTAACAAGTGATTGAAAACACAAATAAAACATATACGAATAAGGTATAATGAATATCGAAACGCCACAAAAGTATCACGGTTCTGAAATATTGCAACAAATTTTTTGACAGATATTAATGAAATATTTCTTCAGGGTAATCAATCAATAAGAAGTTAAAAGAATTTGAATAAAATAAACAAAATGCTTAGTGCCCAGACTTTTTCTGTTTTACTGTTTGTGAAATATTATTGTTTAGAGTTTTTATATTTTAACATTTTTTCTAATATGCACATGGAAAAGTGGATGTGTTGATTTTTACTTAAACGACATTAGTCACGAATACTCTGACTATTCCATTAGTAATTACAGTCGTAAGCATATTTTAGTCGTAAGCATAGTTTATTTATAATTTTTATCATGTAAAATTATTAACTATATAATGCAATTCATTAAAAATACACTTTTAAAATTTCTGTATTTTTCTTTATCTTCAGTTTCACAGCTATAATTTTGCTAATTATAAACCGATTATATATATATTTTTTTTATTTTTATTAAAAGTGTTTTTTTTTATACAACTTAGAATGGCAAACAAGCTGACGGCCCACCTGATGGAAAGTGGTAACCGTCGCCTATAGACATGAGCAGTACTATGGACATAAAAAAGTATACTGTTTCGCCCATGATACCCCCCATGCGTTGCCATTGCTGAGAACTCAGGTGTTATTCCTCTGTACCCAGTAAATTCACGCCATATCCCACCCTTCAAACCGAAACACAGCCATGTAAACACAACTGCTTCACGGTAGAAACACGAATGGGACAGAGGTACCCAAGCAATCGACTTTTGTACAAAGTCTTCCTCTGGTTAAATTATTGCAAGATAAATAAAAAATATTATATGGCCACCCAAAATAGCAAGAGCCACAAATAAAAATTCTTAAAAATAATTATTACAAAAAAATGAAACAAAATTGCGACTCTCGACATGGTAGGTTCACCATCAAATTTTGTTGTATGACCACGGAAACATTGAAAGTCGGCAACATCGCCCTCGCGGAACCCTTTATTTCCTGTTTCCGTAGGAATTTACAAAAAAAAATCTTATTTCGTGCTACATTGCATGAAGAACATCTGAGTAAAATTTACAGTTTCCAGATTTTATGTTTCCGGTGATGATTTTGTAAATTGTTTACTTAGTATATACATATACATATATACATAAGGAAAGGAATGAGGAAAAAAACTAATTTGTAGCGAACACTTTGTAACATATTTTTGTCTTGTCATCATCTTGTCTTGTTTGTTTTATATTTTTTTAATCATAGAAAAACTCTCAAAAGTATTTCGTCATAACTATTAATCCATTTTCTTCATGCCATTATTCATAAACTTATTTTCGTTAATAATTAAAAAATATTGTATAAAGCTATAGTCATAATAAAAATCTAATCCACACATACGAGTAGGAGGTATACACCTCACCCATATAAATAGTTCCATATAGTATGCTAGTATGCTAGTAGTACGTTCTAGTTTTCCAAATGTATAAATATAATGAATTATTATACATCATAATACTGATTTTTTCTCTAATAAGAAGAATATAAAAGTGTCTAATACTTTAGCATGTCATAAATAATGTTGTTTTGTTTGTTTCAGAATCGCTGGCGCAGCATCTGCTTGTTGGGAACCGGGGGAATAGCTTTATTATATTGGCGATTGCGGATTGCTGGAGCACCGTCGCCTTTTGCTGCAGCCGACAATCCTGCGTCTCGCGATCCCTCTATGCTAACAAGAATTTATACATTTTCTTATCTCCCAGTTTTTAACTTCTTCCTCCTTTTATACCCTTTTCATCTAAGTTTTGATTGGTCTATGGAATCTATACCAAGAATTTCATCCATTTTTGATACACGAAACGTATCGACCATCATTTTCTATCTTGTTATGTCAAAAGTTACATGGAAGGCTATAGTGAATGAATTTAAAAAATGCCAAGACAAACCCCTAAAGGAAGTGAAATATTATAAAAAACAGAATTGTAAGATAAGGCACAAGTGGAATTATAATAGCAAACAATATAACAAAGGACAGGACTGCGTTGAAAGAAAAAGCTACTATACGCCACACAAAGAGAATGTGTCATCTAAAAAGCTATTGTGTCCATGTACGGGCTGTAAACATTCGCTGACTGATGAGCACACGAGCGCATGTCGTGCTGTTAACAACAATAATACAATGATGCACAATTCTAGTTGCGTTTGCCCAATCGCGAATATAAAATATAAGACGCCTAATATCGCACAAAGACACATTTATCGCAGTCCCCAAGTTGCGATGTTAATGTTCATGGCATTTATGGTTCTGCCATTCGTGCCTGCTACTAATGTTCTGTTTTACGTTGGCTTTGTGGTTGCGGAGCGTGTTCTTTACATTCCCAGTGTTGGTTTTTGTTTGCTGCTCGGACTGGGATCTGGTGCCTTGACGCGCCATTGGAATCGAAATGAAACACGGAGTCGTATGTTTATGTTGGCCTTACTAATTGTTTTATCTGCGATGTGTGGGAATACCATGCGGAGAAATCTCGATTGGCGTGATGAAGAGAGTTTGTTCCGCAGTGCTCTTTATATCAATCCACCAAAAGGTAAGACAATTTTATATTTTTTATAGGTTATTATATTATATACCAGTTATAATAAGGTGATATAGCAAGCCAAAATTTAGCGATAGTATTCAGGAAACTGAGTAACTTTACTGACCGCAGAGTTTGTTTGGAAAATATAAAGAAATAAAATTAATATTTTCAACGTTCCACATAGGTTCTTTTAAAAAAAATTGTTTAGTTATCATAGTAAAAAATATTATATAATTTCACTGAACTTGACACTTGACATATGTACACACACATGCTGAATATAAAAAAAAATCCGTATATATCTAAATTCTACAGAATTCCGTAAAAAAAGTAATTATTGTTTTGTAAATAAACAATTTTTTATTAATACATTTAAGTACATTCGTTGAGGTAAACAAAAATTAATTATAAAAAAAAAACCTTTAGAAGGGTTGAGCTATTACAATTACAGCAAATTAAATTGGAAAAATGAATACAATGAAAGTACAATAAAAACTCCAATTTTATCCAGACAAGCTAAGCCGGTTACTGGTAACAAAAAAAGGCCAAGAGCATGTCCCCATAGTTCCGCAGCCGTGATTTAACTGGGTTGCTATCTTTTTAAGTTATTAATGTAGAATCTGATATATTTTGCATTGTACTTTATACTGAAAGCTACTTATATTATTTTATTTAAATTATTAAATACTTTGTTAATAGTTTTAAAGTTTTGTTTAAACGTATTTCTTTACAATTTTGATACATCAGGAATAAAAAAATGTTCAATAACATTACATTTTGAATAATCTTTGATTTATTTAATCTATTCGTGTTTAAATTTTAAATTAATAAAGAAAAAAATATTAACTTATGACTGTATTTGGTTTACATCTACTTATATAAGATTTAAATAAAAAAACCTTAAAAAAGTTGAAAGAAATGCTGTGCCTCGTAAACAGACAAACGTGATGAAATTGTAAGGTTTCGTATTATATGTTTGTGATTTAGCTACGGCACTCGAAATACGTAGTAAAGCATTACTTTAAATATTTACGTGACTAAAGGACATTATATTTGAAACATTACAAAATAAAATTACAACTCTCTAGAAGGACCAAGAAAAGTTTTCAATTTCGCACAAAGCTTCGTGTTATCGTCAGTCAACGGGGCATTAAAATTTTGCGAATTCACGCCACAACATTTGAAGCTGTTGCCTTGGCACTCTCATTCCGTACCTTGCACAAAAGTTTGTTTGAGTTACTCCCTCGTTACTGCTCAAAACTAAGACACAATTAATTTGTTTGAGAGACAGCTACAAACTACCTGTCCGCGGCGTGTTAGTTCCTCAAAGTTGGAAAAGAGGTTGTCACGGCACGACTGCCTACCTCGGAGAATGTATCCACAGGGGATCTTGTAATGTATTCACTACCTCTACAGTCAGACTCTTGACCTTTCTAGGATGCCATTAAACATGCATGTACGACGTCCCGAGGGAGCCCGCCTCGGGTTTCTGTTCACATCACAAACTTTCGCGCAAAGAGAAAAGTTTCGTCTGATGGTTCTCATTTTGCCTCTCTTCATACGGCGAATGTTGGACTCAATCCCGAATATTATATTACTTCTATTTTTTGGGACTATTTGTGTATAAATATTTTAGAAAATTCTTCCCTTGTATTGCCATGATGGATTAAATAATCACTATAATAAATATGTTTATATATGTCAATATATCAATTGTAACGTACGTAAATGTTATAAAATTATGAAGATTATTAGAATTTTCAAATAATTTATAATCAATAAATCCACTTAGAAATTATTTATTGAAATTACCATGGAAACGAGAACTATGGAGTTCAGCGTAGGCGAGGCCGTGGTAAATAACTAATTGACTTTATACATAATATGATGTAACTTCATAGAAATTTCAAGAACCAACTTTATATTAAATATTTTATTTTGTATTTCTTATACCATGTATATATTTAATTATTACTTCTTAGGTATTTCATATTATACAAGTACTTACATCTTATTTAAAAGTAATAAATATAATTATTATAAATTCGCTTCTTCCACACAAGTCCTCGTGTTTATAAATAAAAGTTTTTATATTAATATAAGTTCATTAGCTGATTAATTAAATAACTGACATAAAAACTATGCTTGAACCAAACTACAAACTACATAGTTTAAAAAGTACAAGAAATCGTTAGAATTGTAAACTATTTATAAATTAAAATATTAGAGTAAATATAAATATACTTATACACTATCAACAGGTCCCTACTTGGATTTGGTAAAAATATACTATCTGAAGAGAAACTTATGACTTATTCAGATACCACAAATAAGATAACAAAATATGCTTCCCTTACCAGAAAAAACAATATTTCACGTAAATTATGACACTTTATCGAAGGGTCCCCGATGTAAAACTATCCAACTTTTTGGCGATGGGTTTGTAAGGAAAAAATAAGAGGCCCGAGTCGCTTTTTAAAAGTTTCTTTTAGAACTTCTTGTATTTTTACGATATCCGAAATCACTTGTAAAATATTGAGGCCGGCCAAGTCGACAGCTGCGTCGTAAGTTATTTTCTCACGAGGATTAAATACTATAGTCATAAAGTAATACTAGATATACTGATCGATATATTTTTTTTTTTATACAACTTAGAATGGCAAACAAGGTGACGGCCCACCTGATGGAAAGTGGTAACCGTTGCCTATAGACATGAGCAGTGCCATGGACATAACAGAGTATACTGTTTCTCCCATGACACCCCCATGTGTTGCCATTCTTGAGGATTCAGGTGTTATTCCTCTGTACCCAGTAAATTCAACCCAGAAACACAGCTATGCAAACACAACTGCTTCACGGTTGAAACACGAATAGGACAGAGGTTATGTTATTATATATTATATGTTATTGAAACTGTACTATTCAACTTAGTACGTAGTACGTTATACCAAGTCTGTAGTCTAACTGATGATATACATAATATGCTTCTTTAAATTTAAATTTTTCATTGAGTATTAATAATAATATCGACGTTACGTAATAATCGTAAATGTTATAGTATGAGACATAGAAATTTCTATAATAGTATATTATAGAAGTTTCCATAATATGCTGTATAAAGGCGTATTAAATTAAATAGAATAAGCCACCCTTTCCTTTCACTAAGGGAGCATATGGTGAAGGGATGACAGCAGCGTCCCTCTTTAAACATCACCAAAAGACAAAAAAAGGTTACCAACTTGCTTGCCAAGCGTAGCAACTACGTGGTAAAACCCCCTTGGAAAAAGCTATGTTCAGCAGTGGACAGTTAACGGCTAATACAACAAGCCGCATTAAATTATAAAAGCTTAAGCTAATTTTACACAAGTAACGTACTATTATAATGATATATATATATATATATATATATATATATATATATATATATATATATATATATAGTAAGCAAAGACGAACTTATCTCTAAAAGATTTTTTTTCCAGTCAACCTAACACAGTAGTGTAGGTAGTAATAAGTGAGCAGTAGTAGCGCCAAAAAGAAAACAAACATTTACATAATTTACAAATGATTATATATATTTACAAATTCATAGAGAAAAAATAAATAAAAAAATATAAATATATATATCATACGATGTAAAAAACCAACAGATAAAAATAATGATTCATTCCCGTAATCCATCAGTATGAAAATAATCAAAGCACGTCTTATAATTCTGTTCAGTAAAATATGATACACACCAACGAAACGAATTCGCCGAGATGAGAACGGCAAATTTTATGAACTTACGTCAATAACCCGCCAATTCCCACTCGACCCTACTAAATTATTAACTAGGTACGTAATATATAATATGATCTGTTCAGTCGCCAATTCTACGCAGATTATAGCCCATTACTCGTACTTTATGTGAGTTCAGTATACTGATCAAAACTCAAACGCACCACAAAATATATGAAAATGGCAGCCAATTTCCGGCATGGTTATAAATCACAAATCAAGTGTTCGTAGTGAACTACGTCCTATTACACTATTGTACATATCTTGGCAACAGCTTTTGGCATCCCACTATTCTTCCCCTCGCCATATTTCAATATATTTGAAAATTGGTGTTGCTGTGTGGACACTTTAATACACTACAGAATAACGCATTGTTATTTGGTTATTTTTCTTTCAAAAGCAGTATAATAAACTGTTGTATATTATAATAAACATGCTTAAATTTGATTTATGTTATAAATGAGACTGGTAATTAACTAAAACAGTACCACTATAAAAAACATGTATATTTATATTAAAACACTCTAGAAAAAGCAATCTAGCTTAGCTCGCGAGGTATATTTATTATTAACCAGAGGGAGACTTTGTACAAAAGTTGTTTGCTTGGGCACCTATGTCCCATTCGTATTTCTACCGTGAAGCAGTTGTGTTTGCATGGCTATTTCGGTTTGAAGGATGACATATGGCAGTAAATTTACAGGGTACAGAGGCATAACACCTTAGTTCTCAGGAATTGCAACGCATGGGAGGTATCATGAGCGAAACAGTATATTCTGTTATGTCCATGGCACTGCTCATGTCTGTAGGCGATGATTACCACTTCCCATCAAGTGAACCGTCACCTTGTTCGCCATTCTAAATTGTATTAAAAAAAGTTGCAGTTGTAGCATTTGGTTAGATAAATAAGTTTATGTGATAAGAATGGATAAGATTAAGAACTTTTATATTCGAAAAAAAAATAAATACCGGTAATAGAGAATTTGAAAAATAATCTTTTGTCTTAGTATTAACGTATAATGTACAGAAATAAGTGAATGTTGTAAAAAATGTATCGGAATTGAACATATTCAATATGAGGATCGTAGAGATAGTGACTTAAACAAAAATGGATAAACTGTATGAAATATGTAATTAAAAAGGGAGTGAATACTGAGATAATTACACCAAAAAAAGCATAATAATTACACTGACTCCAAATATATCGTCATCATTGTCTTGCCTTTTCACAA